GAAGCGAACTTGGGGAGCGAGAAGGCGCAGGAAGGGAGGTGCTTTTGTGAAAATCTGCACGTGAACTTTGCGCAAATCAAATTTACCTGGCAATTGCTGGTCCACTTCTTTGTACAAACCCAGATTTTTTAATGTATTCAACTTTCCTAGGACTACCTCGTCAAGGTTAGGAAAACATCCTCTACCTGCGGGACAACCAAGTTACCGTAACGATGATTTCTGTGGACTCCAAGATCTGACTTCTAGAGACCAAAGGCAGGTGCAAACTGTGAGTGGGCCCCATGTTTAGCCCACAGCTCCATCTCCCTCTGTCTCCCTCACTCACACAACAGGGCGGTTTGTTCCGAGGGCAACAATGTCGTTGTTTGGATGACCCATAATGTGGGTTCATAACCAATCTTCTATGGCCACAGTGTGCCATCTGGAGGAGGCAGGATGAGACACCTTCCACCCTCCTAGAACTTGGGCCCAGTCGCCCTTGCAGATAAGGCCTAGCAGGGAATATGCTTCATCTCCCTCACAAATTAGATTTTACCCAGGCTTCACACAAGCTGCTCTAGGGAATGAGCGATACCCATCAGCAAATAAGGGTCGTCTTCTAGCGTGCTTGTTCAGTCACATGGTAGTGTGCTAAGAGACACATACAAAAACCACAATGACATGTGGGGAATTTCTACTGTAAATTCTCTACCTCTATAGTATGTGGAAAGTTATCAGGATCACACCATTTAATTTTGTCTTTATCTCCAAGGTAAATAAGTTAGTTCCATTTGAAATGTAAAACCTTCCTGTCTTCCCCCAGGAGCCCCCACCCCCACCCACCGCCGTGGCCTTCCAGCCCTTCCACGATCTAGACCCTGCCTGTCTTGAACCCATGGCCTCTCACCTTCTGCCTCACCCACTCTGGCCTCCAACATCAGTCTGCTCCTACCTCAGGGCCTTTGAACATGCTACTCCCTGCCTGGAAAAGTCTTTCCCCCAACCCCTGACATGGCAGTTCTTTCCCTTCATTCATCTCAGCTATCTCAAAGAGGCCCTCAAAAGTTATTGTTCCCTTCCATCCTCACAAGAAAAAGTCTTTAAAAACTGGAAATCAGCGACTCTTCTTAGATCAGTTAAGAATTGGGGTCACCCCCAAAACTGGAGAGACAGAAAGGAAGATACAGAGAACAACAACTTACTGGGGCAGAAACTTCCATGAGAACCAGTCCAGTGCTAGGGTAGGAAAATTGGGACTGTAATTGAGGAATTACTATATGCTCATGTGGACAACTCTGAGACGGATCTGGTCATGGAGGACTCTCACATTTTGGGGGATTTTATCTGGAGGAGTTCTGCCAGATTCTCACATTAACAATCAGAGAAAATTCTCCTCATGCTTTCTTTTTTTTTTTTTTTTTAATTTTTTTTTTTCAACGTTTATTTATTTTTGGGACAGAGAGAGACAGAGCATGAACGGGGGAGGGGCAGAGAGAGAGGGAGACACAGAATCGGAAACAGGCTCCAGGCTCTGAGCCATCAGCCCAGAGCCTGACGCGGGGCTCGAACTCACAGACCGCGAGATCGTGACCTGGCTGAAGTCGGACGCTTAACCGACTGCGCCACCCAGGCGCCCCAACTCCTCATGCTTTCTACAGTGGGAGGGGAAACAGTAGCCATTTTGAAAGACATCAGAGCACCCTATTCTTCTTTTTAACAAGGCCTCAAGAAAAATCATCTCACCAGAGCCTAACCTGCTGGAGGTTTCATCAGAGCCCACCCCACCTTGGGGAAGGGAAACAGCCAAATCCAGCCCCCTGTAGCCATCCGATCCTACCTAAGTGAATGAAATCTAAGGAGCCCTTGTGATGGTCAAAGCCACAGGCTTACCAGAAGACTGAGACTACAGAATGTTCTCCCTCCCCCACCCCTTCCCATCGCATTGTTGAGGGTCCTTTATAACAACAGGGGAATTGGGGTGCCTGGGTGGCTCAGGTGGTTAAGCACCCAACCTTTGATCTCAGTTCAGGTCATGATCTCACAGTTCATGGGATTGAGCCCTGCATCAGGCTCTGTGCTGATGGCTCAGATTCTGTCTCTCCCTCTTTCTCTGCCCCTCCCCCATGCTCTAAACAAATAAATACACACATACATAAATTTTAAATAATAGGGGAATAGAGCTAGGGAACTGAACATTTCAGAAATCTCACAGAGGCCTCTCCTGACAATCCTGCCTGAAACTACCACACACATATTCTAGTCCAACAGCTGATTTCCTATTTCTTCATAGCATTTAGATCATCTTGCTGATAGGATTACTTGTTTACTGTTTGTCTCCCCTACTAGAATGTAAACTCCATGTCTGCCCTGAACCTCAGCGACCACCCCCAGTGTCTGTAACAGAATCTGGAACACAGTTTTAGGTGTTTAGAAAACATTTGGTAAATTATGGAATAGCCCTTTGGCTTATGCCTCATTAGCACACCTTTCTCACCCATGACACATGTTTCAATGAGTTCCTCTTCTGTTTTGGATCTTTTTAAGATTTTTTTTTTCATTTCTCTTGAAATTATATATACACATATAAAAATTATGTGCATATGCTACCTATGGGGGCATCGACAATGTGCTATTTTATATAAAGGCACTGTAGCTAGCTATACTCTAGCCCTTTATGATGAATGATAACTTCATACAGCTATGCATACACATATCATCAAAACTGTCCCATATTGAAAGATGTCAGTCACGGTTACTGGGCAGTCTTTATCAGGTATCGTCATGGAGAAGGCAGAACTTTGGTAACATGGGGTAAGATTTAGGGTTCGAATGAGATTTGGGGTCATGTTTTCCCTCCTATCATTTTTTCATAGTGCCACCTCCACTTGCTCAGTTTAAGACAGACTTGGGTGTTCTGTTTTGTTTTTCAGTGTATTGTAGCGTTTCAGTTCTTGGATCCTGAAATTTGTTAATGGGGAAGAAAATCTCGCTACTTTGAACGTTAGCAAACCCCTAGAGCCCCGGAAATCAGACAAATGAGGTAGGCTGTGATGATCACGTCTTCCCTTGCTAACACCGTCAGGCTCTGTTGTACGTAGCAGATGGGATACAGACAAGCTCTCTGACTCACCTTCCCACAGAACGCAACACGCGTCAAGTCAAAGCTAACTCTTTCCTACCGAGAGGGCCCGTTATCAAAATCACTGCTGCGACTTCTCTGTCTTCCTTCTTACTCAAATATTCGGAAGCATCACTCCTCCCTCCCTGACCATCGTTCCACCAAGGATGATCAGTGAAGCAGACAGACCATTGCGACCTAACCATGCTGTCCTAATGGTTGCCAAAGGAGGGCATCGCTGTCTTGGCAACCTCTAAACACAGAGTCTTGAGTGAACATCTCTGCCCCTGTTGGGCTCCCACAAATCTGAGCTCTAAAGGGAGCACGTCCCCCCCCCCAAACTTAAGGGTGCGTGTGTGCGTTTGCAAGATCAAGATGGGAGATTTTTACCAACTTCCGCTCACTACAAACGATAGCATCCCTCTCCAATTTTGATTTGGTACCAGTCTCTTTACGTCTATCTCATCTTGGAAATGATTATTTTCTACCAGGCAATAGCCTACAAACTCTAACAACTAAAATAACACTCAATCCTCGGGGCTGCGAAGGTGGTGATACAAACCACAGGCCACGTCAATGTCGGAAGGTTTCGTTTCTAATGCAGCGATTCTCACTTTTCTGTCTCCCTGCTTGGAATGCCATGTTTCTTCTCATCTGCTGCTGTTAAAAACAGTATGACTGCTGGGAGAGAAGTGTTCCACTATATGTTTTCAATGATGTTGGCTTCAGTCTCCTGATATTTTTGGACCTCATGATCCAGTGCCGGTGGACAGTTTAAATCAGACCCCATTAGCAAAGGGCATGAAAACATTGGGTTTAGAGCTAAACTGCCAGCCGAGGGGTATCACGGCTGTCCTCCACACGATCCCTTGTGTTTTTTATCTACTGAGCACCTACTGTGTGCCAGGCCCTGTACTGGGCAGTAGGAATTTCTCGATGATTAACCTTGTTCTCAAGGAACCGTAAGATTGGAAGGAGGGACAGACACAAAATCAAACTATGTCTTGGTAATATGGTGAGTTGATCTGGTAGGAGAATAGCCCATGGGTTAGGAACAGGGAAGACACAAAAGAGGGACCCTTGGCCTAGGCTTAAAGGTTAGGGACACTTCCTGAAGCAAATGATTCTTGAATTGAGACTTGGAGGATGAATAAGAATTACAAGATACAAAAGGGGTCAAAACACGTTCCAGATGCAGAGACCTGCGTGAGCAAAGAATGACCTCTAGAAGGCTGAAGACAGCTCCATACTGCTCCCGCACAGGGCCGGGAGTCACAGGAGGGGGAGCCAGTGAGAGGAGAGAGGTCTGAGCAGCTTGGATTTCATTCCCTAAGCCTCTTCCCATGGTGGCACACATAGTAAATCATACCTGAGTGGAATATGGGAGGAAATAAATGAGGCTGTTCCCAACTGGGCCACCCTTTGAGCTAAAGGGATCACTATTTCTGCACACCCATAATCCAGTCCAGCATTTGTGGTGTGGAAGGTCCACAGAAAGAAATAAGGAGCCATTCAAAGCTTTAAAGGAGAGTGATAACAGAGTCCAAGTAGCGTTTTAAATGGCGCACTCTGGGGGCACCTGGGTGGCTCCGCCGGTTAAGCGTCCGACTTCTGCTCAGGTCATGATCTCGCGGTTTGTGAGTTCGAGCCCCGCGTCGGGCTCTGTGCTGACAGCTCAGGGCCTGGAGCCTGCTTCGGATTCTGTGTCTCTCCATCTCTCGGCCCCTCCCCTGCTCATGCTCTGTGTGTCTCTCAATAATAAAAATAAACGTTAAAAAAATTTTTTTTAATGGCTCACTATGACTGCAGGGTGGAAAACGGACTTTTCTAGGATTAGACCACAATAGATTAGGCAAGAGCTGATAAGGGAAGTGGGTCGATGGTTGTACAGATAAAAAGAAAGAGACAAGTTCAGGAAATTTGAGGAGGTAAAACTGGCCAAATTTGGTGATTTATTACATGTAGGAAGAGAGAGAGAGCTTGGACTCAGCATGGCTCTCTGGTTTCTAGCCTAGGTGTTGAATGAATGTATAAATACACAAATCTATTTTGTCCAAAAGATTAAGATCTTTCCCCATTAATCTCACCACACATATAGAGCTAGCGTGTTTGTGTTTTTAAGATTTTTCTACTGCAGACACACCCTCACTAAGGGTTTTTGGCATATCCTCTCTTCTTTTCCCAAGCTCTGACTAGCCCAGCCAACAGCCTTAAAGAGATACAATTTAAAGATGTTAAGAATAAGTCTGGTTTTCTGTGACAGCCTGACATTAAGTTCTCCATAGCTTGGGGCCAGTTGCCATCTGCAGGATCTAAGCACACTGTGGGGGTCCTTCCTCAGCTTGAGCAAGTCTCTTGCTTCTATTCTTACCCAGATCTCAGGTGTCAAGGTAACAACGTGGGTCTCTATTCTTTCCAATGACCTTGAGGTTAATGAAGCTAACCCGTGAGCAATCTTGGGGCATCCCGCATCACAGCTCTCGGGAGCACCTTTCTGAATAGTTCTAAATCAATGTGGCTTTAGACCCACCAAATGGTGGCATTAACATTTCCTGGAAGATGCAAAAAAGGTTCAGGAAACCACATTCGTCCACCTTCTCTGTGTGCATCAGGTGCGTTTCGGGTCCTCGGCAGGCCGGGCTTCGAATAACACTAGCCAACTCTGGATGCCCCAAGAACTGCACAGAATTCTCCTCCTGTGAAACAAACTTAGGTTTCTTACATAACATATGGATCTAGTTTGAATCACACAGACAATGGGGGAAGTTTTATTATGAGCTGGGTATTAGGTGATATTTAAGAATCGGGTTAGTTTGGCTATAGATACGACAATCATAGGGTGGTTAGGTCTCCTTAAAATGAATCAAAATGTCTATCAGTGATACATCCTGAAGTATTGATGTGACGTTGGGGATTTGCTTTTAAAGATTAGCAAAAGAAAGAAAGTGGGAGAGAATGACTGAAGACTGGCCACGATTGATCTAGGGAAGCTGCATAATGAAGGTGTGGGGCTCGTTCTATGGGTACGTGAGTGACAAATCTCCATCATAAAGCTCCGTTCTACTGCGCCATACCTTGACCACCTGTTAGATCGGAGTTCTCGGCAATCATTTTAAACCAATCTTCATTTGTTTTAGCAATAAAGTGGGGCTGGGAAAAAGGCAGGTTTTGTCCAAATCATTGACCCTGTTGCGGTCATATAATAATCATAGCTGCCATTAGTTAGTGGTTATTACATTCCAGATGCGGAGTTAATCATTTTTCATGCATTAATGTATTCAATCCTCACCAAAAAATCTGCATCTAAGAGCATAACGAGAAGCTCAGGTGCTGACTTTAGTCTTCTAGTACCACAAATAATAATAATAATTATAATAATAATATAATAATATATATAATATATATTATATATAATAATTATTATTATTCTAGCTACACAAACTACAAAACTCTCACAAATCGCTGAAGCAGTTTTCTGTGAATTGTTCTAATTTCTACCCATTTTCTTAAAGATACGCATAAAAGTGATTATTCTGATAAAAGTGGATACAAATTCTTGAGTGTTGACCACAGACTAGTCTCAGTGCTAAGCACTTTCTGTATATTTTCTCACCTAATCCCCACAACAACCTATAAAGTAGTAGGATAGATCCAGTGGATCGATGGTCCTACTCAGTGGCTTCCCTATGTCCATGAAGAGGTGAAGTGCCCTTCACACCCCCTGAATCTGGACTGGCCTCACAATTTGCTTCCGCCCACGGGGTGTGGTCAGTAGAAGTAAGGACAGACCAGTGCCGGCCGAGATTCCCAAAGACCTTGCGTACTGTTCTTTCTCCCTCTCGGACCCTTGCCTCTGCCATGAGACGAAGCTTGGGACAACTCGCTGGAGGACGAGACGCCATGTCAAGGAGAGCTAGCCGTCGGCCACCCGCCGGAAGCAGAGTCACCTGACAACCTGCCAGCTGACCACAGGTGGGGCGGGCCCAGCCATGACCAGAACTGTCCCGCTGAATCCAGCCCAACTAAACAAGTGGTTCAGAGGCCACTAAGTTTTGGAAGGGGTTTATGATGCAACAACAGCTAACTGAGTTAAGCAGGTGCCATTTGCTTTCACCAGAAGAGGAAACCATGGCACGGAGAGGTTAAGTGGCTTGCCCAAAGTCTCAGAGTAAGCGGTGGAGCTTAGCTATGTACCCAGAAGGCTGGCTCTCAATTCTACACCGCGGGTGCAGAGCGGTTCAGAGTAGGTGATCTTCACCAAAGACAAGGCAAGGTGGGAAGTTACCGGGCTCTTCACCCAACAGCCTGATCGTGACCACGGAAGATCCGTTACCAACCGCGTGGCAGCCCAGGTGTCCCCACCCTTCCTCACTGGTCCGAGTGCATCTTCCCTGGAGCTCTGCCGGCCCTTCCCAGGAGGAGGAATCTCTCCTCTCTGGATGTAATCTCCAAGAGACAAGGAGGCCATTTGGTTAAATTATGTTGAATTCTGAATGAGCCCACTGGGGACCCTGAGAAACAGTGATGTGTAATTGAATTGAAAAGGCCAGAAGAATATAAAGTTGCATCCACACTCAAGTCAGAGACCCAGGGTAAAGTTTTATTTGATCCTCAGGACCACGGAAAGCTAGAGATGAATTTTAAATAAGGAAACAGTGGGATAGCATACACACATTTAAGAAAATCAGTCTGGCTGCAACACGGAACAAGGGCTGCAAGTAACCTTGAAGGTCTGGAAATCAATGCAGAGTCACCCAGAAGATGATGGTGGCCAGGACTAAGGTCACACTCACGGGAACAGAAAAAGGTAGAAAGATCCGAGGGCTGTTTAGGAGACAGGAACAGTAGGACCCGGTGATGGATTGAATGAGTGAAGGAAATGAGGGAAAAGGTCAGGACAACCCAATCATAGGGCCACAAAAAGTAACTGACAACCAAGCAATGCTACTCTGTTCCACACAGTGTTCCCAAATGACGACGGACCAGTTTCTGAAAAAGATTTGGAGTTAGTCTTGCCAAGGCATGAGGATTTCTGATAGCTCTGAGTCACCCGATCCGCACAGAACAAAAGCAGGCTTCTAGAGAGAAAATGTCAAAAAATTAAACAGCCACTTGTCTTGACAGCATTAAAAATAATCTGTCACCTGTTCCTAACTTTGTTCTTGGTTACAAAGGCCATTGTGTGAGTGAACAAAGAAGGCACAGAATTTGGAAAGAACTATTTACCCAGAGAAACTGATAAGAGCTCAGGCTGCAGAAGACTCGCATGTGAATGAGGAAGGGGGCGGGCTGCTCCAAACACAAACATTCTGTGCCCTACCAACAACTCGGGTGCTCGAAATCCCATTCACCGGAAAGAACGTGGTTTCCAGCAGCTCCTGTTGGTATATCCAGAATATTCCGAAAATGACTTGGCCTTTCAGTAAGAGCCATTTTCCATCTGATGAATCAAAAGTTCAACTCCAAGGACAATGAGCTGATGGTTATTGAGGGCGTAGGGTCTCCACCTTCCTCCATCAGACACCTTGGCCTCGTGCCAGCCACTTCCCAGGCTGCCCAGCGTCACACAGGACCACGGCAAGCATTCGCCACATGAAGACCGAGGTCGCCCCGTTTCGCGAAAAGCCCTTACCAAAGGGAAGAGTTCAAGAACAGAATCTGAGCCTACCAAAGCCAACAAGATTTTCTTCCGAGTTGTTTTGATTCTGGTCCCTCTTGTTGGCACTCTCTGGTAAGCGCACAACCACTGTCCTCGCCTAGGTGATTTTCCGACTGGAATCCCTTCCCTGAATTAATTCTGGGCAACTACAGTTTCCATGAACTAGCTAGTTGTTTTAGGCTGTGGATGTTCTTCTCTATTCGACCTGATGTCTCTCTATTGGGCACTACACAGGGCTATGGGCGGGATTCAGCCAATTCAGCAGGTGGGTTCAGTTGACCCCAGCAACCAAGAGTGCCAGTTAGCTAGGCCAAGGGCCAAATGGGAGAGGGAGGATGCTCGGCTCTCCAAAGGCAAACCTCAGAGGCTTGCAGCCAAAATCCTCCCTGCAAAGAGAAAACAGCCTCATACATTCGTGAGGGACTTGAGGCCAACAGAGAGCTGAAAAAGCAGCAGAGATGTTTCAAGGAAGTGCTCCTTGAAGAATGAAATTCACACTGTTCTGTAAGAAATTAGCTCGCACGGAATGTGAGCTTATCTGTGACGGATCGCACTATGCAATGAAACACTGTTTTGAAGTAAATCTTCCCCACTCCATAAAAATGACATTTTATGGTTTGTCTTGCTAATTTTTCACCCATTTAGATTCTGCTTGACAGAGAAAGTGGACACTGCTAAATAGTATTAAGTCCTCTGAGCGCCCTCAGCTTGCAAGGAAGCCCCCAGCTGCTGTTGTGTAGATGAATCCAAGCTAATATTTGTAACACAAACGTGGGGGAGAGTCTGCCTTTTGTCTTCCAGTTGTCCAGAATCGCAGAAATCAATTTGGTTTCATCAAATAAATGAAGGGGAAAAAACAAAAACAAAAACAAAAACCCTACACCCTGGGGTTATGACATTGCCCTAAACAAAGTATGGCATATCACGATGCCTTGCGTGATGCGTTTACCAAATGGAGAAAAAAAACTGCAAAGGGCCAGAGGCCCATTAGCAACAACTTCCTGTTAGATTTTGGCGGCAACCTGGGAATGAATCACTGAGCCCCCGCGTGCCCATCAGGCCCCTCTGCCCCTGGGTACAGAATAGATAGATGTGTCGTCACTGAATGGTAAGAGAAAATACTCCTATCATTGTTCTCCCTCATCTGGAATCTCTGATGCTATTTTGGTTAAGATTCGACAACTTCCCAAATCTGAACTATAAGCACGGAAGCCATATTTAAACGTAATTTTTGGAGCCCAGGTTCACTCGACAATGTGATTTAACAGGAGTTTGAGATCTGCAGTCATTAGGTCTGTACGGAAGTCCCAGTTTGGCCCTTCGTAGCCAGCTAGCCTCTGGAAAATCCTTGGCACTCCAGTTTCTATAGCTGTAGAAGAAACCATAATGGCTGCCTCATAGGGACTGAGAATCACAGGGATGAAAAGTGATTGGCAACTGCCTTTCCCTCACCTTCTGGACCTTACTCAAGGCTCAGAAATCTAGCTAGCATGAACGATGGACTAGGTGTGGCCCTAGTCCTCCATTGCCAGAACTTGAGAAATTGAAGGTGACGAGAGATAAAGACAGACGGGAGAAAGAGGACAGGAGTAGGAGAAAAAAAGAAGGAAAAGGGGGGGGGGGGAGTAAAACTCAAAAAAAAGAAAACCCGGAACTTGGGCGGGGGGGGGGGGGGGGGG